AGGGAGAGTTTGTAGTTTTTGTTGAACAAAAACAACTCTCACATATCTCGTAAGTGGAAAATGTTAAATCTACTTGATCCAGCGCATTATGCAAATGCAGTAAACCTTTGAAGGTTTCACACAGTTCACCTGGTTTTTCCTAACCTTCCTGTATGAGGATTCAGCATCCTTGGTCTCTGAAACTACTTCTACAAGGCATAGTGTATTAAACTTTTTAGAGATTATTTGTGGAAAAATGGTTTCTTTGTCATTCAAGATGTGTTTTTAGACCTATAATTTCCTTCAAGTGAGCACAATTCCGCTAACAGCAGTATATTATTTTGACAGTAAGTCAGTTGGCATAAGACTTCATTGTGTATGCCTTTTGTTTATATAATCCTTCCTAACAGTAACAAGGTGTTTACTGTTCAGCAAACACATTTTATTTTAACTGCCAACAGTAAAACTGTCTGATAAAGTTTGATTTAGCTAAGGAAAGCAAGTTCTCATTTAGCCCAAATAAATCCATGGTGCTATAGACAGCTGTTTGGAGTACATAATCCCCCAAGCTCTTATAGCAAGGCAACTCTTGCTATTGAATGAGCAAGAGAGAGCAGGCTCAGCTGTTCAGGATGTGCTCCATTACAACTGTAATCTATAGCATGGTACTGCCATATTGTGAAAGCATTACTCACATTCAGCAGCAGTGAAGCAAATACTCCTCTGACAGATGCTCTGCAGACTGACAGCTGACACCCTAAGCTGAGCTCTATAGATTTTTCACTAAACACATCCTGCAGCCCGGATCGATGTGGTCTGGCTGTCTGCTTCCCCCTGCTCTCCTACGAGGAGATCAACATCTAATACCATTTCTGTGAGATTCTCAGGGAGTTAACTGTCTCCAAGTGGAAAAAGTTCAGATTTCAGAGAAACAAAGAACACTTCTCAAAATAACAGCATTTTGATGCTTGAGAGAAAGAGAATTCATAAGCCTAAAGGCATTTTTATTCCATTTTATGGGTGACTTTATCCTGGAGAAATTTGCCAAAGAAATCTGATTTTTAAGGCTGTTATTATAAAAATTTTTGAGAGCAGCAGGGGATAAATAGCTGATCTGTCACATGGAGTCCAAAAAAGTTGTCTGCACCAAATGAAAAGCAAAATAGACTCCAGGATTTGCTTCCTGCCAAAATCAGAATATGTAGCAAGAGTATGTACACAGACAGAAATCAGGATGTGCATAATAAGCCACTGCTGCACCTACACTTTAAAGAAAAAGTTATAGAATGAATCATTTTACTGTAACAGCTATAGTAATCTTCTAACCTTAACCTCAAAACACTGGTAAAGAAGTTTACTTTCCCCCTCCCCCCTTATTCTTTTATATGACTGCTTCGTTAAGGCTGCTCCTGCTCCCATTGCAGACACCAGCAGAATTCCTGTGATTCACTGAGAACAGAAGTTGGCCCATAAAGTAGTTGTCACTCACCTGCAGTGAACATAAGAACAAGCACAGAAAATAATACAAGTTGGTTTTGAAGTATATCATGGGAGGTTTAACTATAATCTCTCTGCTGGAATTTAGGGATATTTGGGTTGTGTTTTGTTCTCTGGTATTATTTGTGCCACCTTCAAACAGTCTAGATCCCAATATTATAATCTTATATTAGATCTGGAAGTTTCTGGAAGGGCAACTAGCCCATGTCACTTGGAAAGACAAACAGATGCCTGTGCCTTCTTGCAGATGGATTACTAGAGTAGGGTTAATTGCAAAGAACTGAAATTCCTCCTTCTGACTGAGAAGGTTCGTGTTCTGAAAGCACATCTTGTGGCTGCTTTTCGACTTTCAGTGTGTTGTTTCACTCCTTGTTGTATTGGACTTCATCTTTGCACTCACATTGCATTAGTTTTGCAAATGTATATATGAAAGGTAAATGGTCATGTAATTATGTGATAATTGAATGAAGGTTACTCATTTAAGTGTGGTAGGTTGACATCCTAACCCTTGAGCACACCACGACATGAAGGAAAGCAGACTCTCTGTTCACATTGGAAATTTGAGTTATCTCTACAATACCAGGCCTGATAACAACAAAAATTCCATTCAAAATCACTCATTTTCAGCAATATTTACTAAAAAATTGCAAAAATATTTCCTACTCTTACAGCAGCTTTGCTGATTTAAGTGAATTTGTATTGAACATCTCAACGCACAGTTTTACATACCTGTTTGGACACTTGTATCAGAACTGGGCCAGCAAAGTTCTCAGTGCATGACAGCTTAACTGATGCCATGCTTGAATACATGGTGCATCTAATTTATAAATGAAGAAGGTTTACAGGAAAATATCCTCGGCCAGGAATACACTGCTGTAACATAAGTATATGCCATTATTTAATCAATAAAACCATACCTTAAACACTGCACACTCAGAAGAGAAAGCATTTAAAGATAATTACCAAATCATTACACTCATCAAAAAATCAACAAGCATTAACACAACATATTCAGTGGATTAGAGAGATCTTTGTCAGAAAGGCATGCCCTTGCTTGAAATAAACTGATATACCTCTAGTTAGGCAAAATCATTAAATTGCACTGCTTCATATAAGAACCTATTAAAATCTCATCCATGTAGATAGCTGAACACAAAAGATGGTGCAATCCCAAAGGAAAAACTGACAAAGAGCAAATTCGGCCTTCAAGGAGATATGAGATACAGTTGGCCCATAGTCAGATTGCCCAAGCCATGTATCTTGTCACAAAATCGTCCCAACAGTTCAGAGACAGTTTCAGACTTTATTTGATCCTTTTAGAATCAGAATAAGCAGTTTTTATAGGGTCCTGTTTCCCCTTTAAAATCTTTTATCACTGTTAGTTACACATTTGAGAGCATCACCTCCAGTGATCGTTCTCCTGCTGACACTGATGTTAGCGAGCAAACAAAAAATTCTAGCCATAAATGGCCTAATTGCTGCAATTAGGCTTATAACAGAGTCTCTTCCAAATAGGGAAGATAGAACTAGTGAGCCTCTGGAATGATTTTTGCTTTGAGAAACACTCTTCCCATGAGACTGTCTAGATACAGGCCCCTTCTGTCTGCCTTCTAGTCATAAACACATATGAGAAAAAGTTCAGGGTAAATTTCTTTCTAGTTCCACAGTAACCTAGTATAGTAATAATGTTCCAATTTTTAAAGCAACTTCTAGATAAGAATTTCAAGGAATTTGCAAAGGATGATGCCATTTTATAAAGGGAGAAATAATGATGTTAAGTAGCCAGCTGCTTAGAGTCAGCCTTGTCCAGTCATTGACCTTAACACAGCTGCAGCAAGGGTTCATGTTGATTTGGGGAAGAAAGGTCTGCTAGGATTCCACCAGCATGCAGGCGTCTCAGGGGCCTAATGCCAAGGCCACCACTGGCTCCTGGCCTGTAGTCCCCAGAGCTCCCTGCTGAAGGAGAGCAGCAGATGGCATGCCAACCATAAGGGATTGCTGCGTAGTTCTAGAGTGTTTTACTTTGCCTGGAAAAGCAAGCACAGAGCAGCACAGAGAGGCAAGGAATTTGTACTCTGTGCTGAGACTCAGCATCTTCCTCCCCAGAAGCCCTGGAGAAACAGAGACACAGTCAACAGTTTGCCAGTCCATATTCTCTCCTCAGTCCCTCCAGCTGACCAGAGGGTTTTATGGAGGATGTTCTCAACATATTGCCTTTTTCCCACAGTGGATCAGGAAGGCAGCAAGGGAACCATGAAGGGGAGAAACAACCAGCAGCAGCAGCAGCAGCAGCTCTGGGACCCGGTATTAACACATTACTTATGAAACAAACCACTTGAAGATGCAAATGGAGAGTATATATGTACCAACCAACCCAAACACAAATTAACTTCTCAGCAATGTTTTTCCCAAGGCTTGCAGTCGCTGTGATGACTCAGATAATAATGAGGCTATTGCTCTAAGCGTCCTGAACACTCAAGTCTGACTGACCCTGGCCGGACATGACAGCCTGTACAATAGGCTTTGTACGTCTCTATCTTTCTGCAGATCTTGCAGAAAACATTCACACCTGCATGGAGTATGTCTGTAGAAAAGGCATGAAAATCTTCAGCTCACTGATATTTTCAAGCATACAAAATAAGTAAGGCTAAAATTAAACCTTATGTCTGAAGGGCTGGCACCGGCCTTTAGAAAGACTTAGATACTACTTCAATTCTGCTTGGGGGAAGGCTGAAATATTTTGAAAACTTTGACTGATGTATAGGAGGGTGATTTTTATTCTCTTGTAGTCCAATACACAATCATTAGCACCTGGGAATAGAAAAGTATGTGTCTGAATACCTCATTTGAGGATTATTTTTCTCAAAGTTTGGTAATCCTCAAAAAGAAGGACTTCCCTCATACACAGAAATTTCCTAGAAGAATCTTTATAGCCTTCTTTATAACCATCGATCTCTACCATTATATTAAAACAAATTATGTTGAAAGCTGTTAAGAACAACTTACATAAACTAAATCAGCCTATGGAAATTGTGGGGGCAAAGTAACAGGAAAGATAGCATGCATGACTAAAATAATTTAACTCTTTTAGAGAGGAATCTGGGCATATCTGCTTTATGTGTGCACTGCAAACACTATATTAACTGTGTCAGTAGAAGTACATCAAACAAGAACCAGATACATCACAGAATTCTTTACTGCTCAGATTTTTATATTAAATCTCGCAACTGGCTTTATATTATTGTCGTTTCAAAATCTCAATGAGTTTTCTGGTCCTTGTCTTCAAGATTGCACACGTGATTAACAGCCATGCATACTCAGGGAGCATGAAGATCAACTAAGTTTTGCAATATTTTCAGATCTGCCCATAAGCTTCCAGCTCTTTAATACATACTCATTATCATTATTAGATGCAGCATGTATTGATTCTTTGAAAAAGGTTAGAAGTGGAAGAGACCCACCATGCCAAACACTGGGACAAGCTTAAGATGTCCAGCATTTCACAATCAAGTACCTTTAGACAATTTGACATTGTTGGGTGGTTTCTTTAGTTCCTTCAGGAAATTCTTTCATCACCCAGAAGAGCAAAGCATGGGGGAATTTTTACCTGAAACTTCAGATAGGTTTTCCTTGTCCAAATTAAACCGTTTCATCTTTGTGGAGTTACTAGTCAATAGCTCCTCTTTCATGAAATTTAAGACTGCAGCAGAGAAGACTGGAAAAATGACAGCCAAGCATGTTATTCTGTTGCCAGTGCTTCAACTGCATAGCTTTCAGTGTGATCCTCACATGTAGTCTCTCAGGAACCTGTAGCTGGTACAAGAAGATTTTATTTCACATCGAAAGCTACTATACTTCTATTTTATATCTCTTGCATATACACACACACATAGAGTCTTAAACCCAATTAGACCAAAGAAGTCATATGCACACCCTCAGAGAGAGAAAGCTCAGTCCTGACAGTATTATATGTTTCGACTTCAACTGTGTATATGCCTACAGAGGCATATGCATGTGTGTTCTGTCATCATATGGTATCACTGCATTCAGGACAGCTGAAGCTATAAGCTTTATCCTTTCTGCATATTTATGTGACAGGAATGTGGAAGCTCTCTGATTAAACAGAAGTTTCACAATAATCTACTTCATTTCTCTCCCAGCCAGAGAGAAATGTTTTCTGCATTTCACAATCAGCACTTCAACATTTACAACATATCATCTCTCCCTCTTTCTAGATTGGGATTTCTGAGCCCCTATTTGGAGTATAGTGCATGCATCCACTTCTCCTGTAAATGGCCAGAAAGGATGAACACAGTCTCTCTTGAGCTTGTATGCACTCACCTCAGAAATCCTGTAGAAGTACCCAAGAAGAGAAAGTCTTTGCAGTTTTCTAGGGATTTTTTTACCCTTTATCCAGAAGTTATTGGTCCAAACCTTCTCTTCACTCACAGTCTGCACTGTAACAGATATTAACAAATGTTCAGACACACGACTCTTCTATGAAAAGGGATTTTCAGATGAAATCGCCTCAGAAACCAGGGGAAGTCTTGTGACTGCTCTACCTGGGACCGCTTTGTGCCTGGTATAAAGTGCCCATCTTCACATCGTCACAAAACAGGAGAGCTTGGTATGCTTAGTATGCTTTTTTTTTTTTTTAAGTAAATGAAAACACCACTAAAATGGAACTGGGCCAAACTCTCTGCAGTGAAAGAAAGAAGCCAACTGTGTAGACTTCAGGGTGCAGATTTGCCTCTCTAATGGTAAAAAATGTGGCTGCTTCTCCTGATCTCATTTTTTAAATGTGTTTATTTGATTTTATTTTGCCAGCAAATTTATGCAAGTATGATTTCTATGTAATAATCCCCATATTTTTTTAATTACCTTGCCATAAAACCTGAATAACTCTCCCTACTTTGATCTCCAACACATTCTGGAGAATACTGCACCAGGCATGTCTAAATCAGTTAAGCCATGCACAGAGCTGTTCCTGCAGGGAAGCTTTCCCACATCAGAAGATTGTGTAATAAAACTTAACACAGCTCATTAATTTTCTCTCTTAACCAATGCATCTGACAAGAAGTGACTTTGAAAACCTAAAGGAATGACACAACTCTTATGCTTTGCGTGAAACATCTGTTTTCAGCTCCTTTGCTATTAAATTGACATCTTTTTATTTGAAAAGTTCCTTTTATTTCCCAACTTCCTGCAATTGGTAATGTATATATCCCAAAGAGCTTAAATTCACAGCTTTTAAAACTTGATTAACTAAATGCTGGGTTAGTCCTGTCCCAGAGGAAAAATACCTCTTGCACAGACAGATTAAGTGGTACAGCTATGCTTTTTAATCAATTATTAAGAATTTGTTTTTTCAAGCAATGTCAGACTTCATAAAGCATCAAAACATACTTCCAATCCCAAAATAATGTAAACACCAATATGATTGCATATGAAAAATATTAGCATTCTCAGATCTGGAAAATCGATAGAATGCGAGCATGTCATACTGCCTCTCTTGTCCATGAAGGCCACAGACAATATCAGGTTTCTGACTATGAAGACCTACAAAGCTACCTGGAAAAGCTGAAATCTTGCATGAGGAGTTAAGGTGATTTTCAGCAGAAGCAAAACATCTTAATTACTATAACTTTTCCTTTAAATTCTCATCACTTACCCCCATATTCTCATTAAATTACTCCCCTATATTTTCAGTTCCTGGTAAATTGGGGGAGAGAAGACCAAAAAAAAAAAAGTCCTAGCAGGATTTTTCCAGACCATTTCATGTTATATGCATATATCAAGCACAGCTAAACTGTGTAAGCTGATTCAATTCCAGTCTGATGAACAAGATGAATGCATTTAATTGTATGTTGTGTTTGTATGGAAGTGAAGTACTGTTTTGGTAACTGTGGTAAACCAGCTACACCCTACCAACTAATGCAATTTTAAGACCTTTGAACTTGTTCATACACCTTCAAAAACTTTAATCTTCAGTGTAGTTTGCAAGGAAGGCTTAGCAGCAAGAAACTGTAACAAAATTATTGAGAATCTTCAATATTAAACAATTTGGGGAAAAACAGGCCCATATTTCATATTATGAGTTCCTCCTGGTATCTCGATTGCTTTGAAAAGATGCATTTTTATTAAATGATCCAAAGATTGTCAGTAAAGACCCAGTCCTGGAAGTCAATGAATCTTCAGACAGAATTTTAAATAAGATAAATTGGGCAGTACCCTGAAATCACACCTGCCTCAATGGAACTATGTAAGTGTATAAACTGCATGCAGGAGCCTTTGCTGGATGGTGATCCAAACCAGAATAAACTGGGAAATAGTTTGATTACCAAGAGGAAGCTTTCCCTCCTCTTCCTTATTCCTAGGTTGTCTCATAGGCTTTGCACAGCTTGTGAATCTGAGCGTGATGCTCAGCTGCTGCCTGTGAGCCTGGAGGTTGCTCACTCTCTCTGTTCATTTTCTAGGGAAGAATAACTTTTGCCAGATCTATTCTTAACCCCTGTCAATTCCAAGTGTGCACCTTTTTGTTACACACACTGCACAGAAGAATTGCACTCAAAGGAGTAGGTTAGCATGTCTTTTTACTAAACTTACACTACGGTGTAAGTAGTGCCTTCTATCAAATAAAACATGAAGGTCATGCCAGACTGGCCACTAATGCTGTCATTTTACAGTCCCAGTTAAATAAAATGCACAACTAGAAAGACAAGAAGGAAGGGGAGGAAAAATATGTCCCTTCTAACATTGTAAAGCTGTGCAACAAGTAGGAAAATAAAGCAGTAGGAGGCCAAAATTAACACAGTATGTGTAATTTATAGGATCAGGGGAACTGAGCAGAGTAAGCCTAAGATTTTGACACCTGTGGGGAGGAATACACTCTTTAACTCATGCAGTTTATTTAATTTGGGGAACAAGAGGGTGGCTGAAAGGTACGTTATAATATGAATCAATTCTAATATTTGCACTTTGGTACCAGCTTGGCGCATCACTGGCACTTTTTAAAGCGTGGCTTAAACAGGCATACAGGTATAAACTTGCACCTGGCGGGAGGGAGTGGAGCACCTGCTCTCTCCCACCCCTCTTTTCTCTGATAATTTTTCTCACCAGAGCTCAGCGTATTTTCCTTTCTGTTTATTTTCACATAATAGAGATAGCCAAGTTTGCTAATCCTACATGTTTCATACCAAAATCTTAACAGGGTGGAACATGAGAATGACTCACTTGAGTACCTGTTGAAGAGCAGGTCTGGGCTGCCTCACAGAAAATACCAGGGCATCTGGGTGGTATGAGCATTAGCAGCTGTAGCCACTTGCTCTGCCCCACAGAGGAGCTTCAGGTTTCCCAGAAATCTCCATGCTAGCCAAACACATGACAGAGTCATACTTTACGTACTTTGGGAGTCCCATCTTAACTGCTTAAACACTTCAAGAATGCTACAGACCAGCCACCTTTGCCCCATGAAGTAGGTGATTAACATCACTGTATTATCAGTGCAGAAATAAATAACTTACCCATGTTCACGTAGGAAGACATTGGCCAAACTGCTAATAAGATTCATATTTTCTGCCTCCCACTCTGCTGCACCACAGAAGTGTGATGTATTTCTACAAGCTGTGCACTAGAAGACAGGAGAAAGAGACAGGGAAAAGTCATAAAGGGGAAAAAAAATCACCAAACAGTATATGGCAATACAAGCCTCTCTTCTGCTGCGGTGTTTTAGTGTTTGCAAGTATTAAGGGAAACAAAGCAACTGTCCAAACTTTCCAGAAACAATTTCCCTTTAGGAGATCTAAGAAAAGAAGTTCATAAGGCAAAGAATAAAAGCTTTCATCTGGGTTACTTTTCCTACTGTATAAAAAAGAAGATAGAAACTGCAATTCAGAAAAGTAGTAGAGGGGAGAGGGAAGTAAAGACAAGCTGAATCATGTTTAATAAAAGGGTTTATAGTCATTCCTAGCAGGATTCTATCCAGCTGGCACATCACATTCCTATCACAAGCTGCACTTGCAAGTGAATTAGAGGGAGTGTTTTGCTCCAGCAATATCACCTACAGACCTATTTAACCTTACTGTAGGGACAGTGTTTTTTCCTAGTAAATCTAGGCTACCAGAAAGTATTGTGTCATGATTAAACTTAGTTTCACGTGTCCTGCTTCTGCAAGATATTCCAACATAACTGGACCCAGCACAGTCACTCATAACAGAAGAAAGCAGAATTATCAAAGTAAATACTGGCTGACATATTGATGCTGAGAAGAATAAAAGAAAAAGAGAAGAACAGTGGTGAAATTGGCACTCTGCAAAAAGGCAACCTAAAATTTATGCACCACTTTTTCTTTTTTCTTCACTAACATACCAAAAGTAACTCTATAATGTGTAGAACTGGGTATAGGCACTGTGCAGGAGCTAAGAGAAAAGAAAGTGGTGCCCCAGTATCCTTCATACCGTGTCTTCACATTTCTCCTGCCACTAACCATTTTCTTCCTCTCCTATTTTATCATCTTTCTTCTCCATTAGAGCAGAACTTCAAAACATGAAATACAGTGTCTTTTTAGTGTATTTTTAAACCCCCATGGTAGAAAATTTTCAGCATTATTCATAAAGCCTCATTTATTGAGTCTTTGGATTTCATTCATATACGAGATATGAAAAAAAGCAGAGAAATATTCTGACAAAGAAACTACAGATGACAAAACTCATAATTTACATGACTTATGAAAAACCACATTACTGTACAGAATATACAGAACAAGTTCCAATGACAGGTCAGGAATTATGATACAAGGCGAGTGTATGCAAATTGGGAGTCACTCCTGAGTGGATGTCAGGAAGCATAATTAGTTCCAGCACAAAGTCGTCCAACAGGTCTGAGTTTATTGGAGAAATAACTTTATTACAGGGCACCATGCATGACTTGGGCAAGTAACTGCATTTGCAAATGAAGCGAGACCAGCTTTGAGATCCACACTAATGGAAAAGTTTGAAAAATTGCCAGAAATATGTATAGCTGATGCCAAGTTATTCTGGAACCCATATATCTGCCAAATCAGTTGCATATACTGCAAATTAACCTGGTGATACAGGAAGGGAGGCAGGAAAGCTGTGCCTAAGATGTGGGTGCCAATGGAATTTTACAGCTGGACTTGAGCTGTAATTGGAACCAGTGGCTACCATGCACCCATCATGGGCCAATCATGGAGCAATCCCACACCAATCACATGCCCTTCGCATGCCCACCGTGTAGTTATCATGCCCAAGTCACATTCCAATCACTTGCTCATCATGTGCTCATCACATGACAATCACATGCCCATCATGCAAAAATCACGTGGCAGTTGCGCACCCATCACACCCCAATCACGCCCCAATACCACACCCATTATGGCCCAATCATGCCCCAGTCACACCCCAATCACACTCCCTTTCATGCCCCAATCACTTGATTGGCTCTGGATGGGAGCCTGCTGGGTGTGTGTGGAGCACATGATTGTGGAGTGATGGGGTGCTGATTGCTGTGGAGTTGCTGTGTGATGGGTGTGTCACTGGCACACGTTTTTGAACCTCGGAGGGGGGGATACAGTGCTTCCCAACACGTGGCATTGCTGCTTTTGCAGTAGAAGAGGCACCTCTCCATAGCCTGTGGGCTATGTGGAGGGCTTCTGTGGCAGCTTTGGAGGGCACCACAGAGGTGTGAGGTCCCTTAGGCTCAGGGTCTGAGGATGCAGACCATCAGAATATGAAATTCCAATTTATAATCCCATAGAAAAAAACCTAACTGCATTCAACTGTATCATAACTGGTTTATTTCCTACATGCTTATGCAAATGCAAAGTTAACTTCTCTTGCTAGCACAGCACTGTTACAGCTCTGTGTTCCTGTCTAGGCTCACATTGCAAGTGCAGCACGAACAATAACTATTAATAAACATCTTAAGCTGCTCAAACAAACAACTCTTGATTCTTTTATAGAACTAAATTATATAAATTAACAGGAAGATGCACAAAGCAATGGTCATTAAGTGGTTTTAATGTGTTTGCTTTGCACTAAAGCACAATAGCTTGTAAAACTGTTTTTACAATTTTTGTGGTAACATAAACCAGGAAGCATTTTAGTGCAGCCAGTTCTCTCAGAGTGGTTAGAAATGCACCATCATTTGAACTCTTTCAGTGACCCTTTCTGTTAAGAGAAGTAGTGGTACATCCATGTCCTCCTAGGAAAAGAATGCTTGATACAGTCATTAAAATGACCATATCCATGGTCAGCAAAATGTTGGTTTCCATCTGGTGTTTTCATTTGCACCTATGAAAAATGAACACACACAAGATGCTGACATTTTGATTGGATGTTTTTCATAGCTACTAAGTGCAGAAGTGCAGGACTCATAGGCATTGAGGAGCTAAACTACCCTTACATACATTAGAGGTATTATTTCTCCTAGGAAGTGCTGTCACACTTAAGCTCTCTTCCACAAGTCTCTGAAATCTTTGGCAAATCACATAATCATCTCTGCACTTCATTTCTCTGTTTATAATCTAGGGACAGTATTTTCCAGCTTTGAATAGCTTTGAATGTCACAAACTCATATTTTCTGGAAGAAAGACTCATTTGTTTCAGCTTTCAAATCTCTACTCAATGAAACAAACTCTACAGCTTATTAGAGGCATTTGTACAATTACCCCCTTCTAGCAGAAATCTGCACATTTGCTTACAAGCATGGAACATTTCCACCAGAACCATTTTTCCACTGGGGCATCCTTTTTTTTTTTTTTTTTTTTTAAAATGACTCTCTATTTTTGGTTTTGTTATATTAGAGAATATTCACCTTAGCAGTAACAAAGTCTTAGAAGAGCCGTTTTGAATTCACTTTCTTCTACTGCCATTTGCATACTTCTAGTTGTTGATATAGCTGAATATGAAGTCCTGGTAAAGTAAAAAATGTGGGGGATTTGAGGAAATAATGAAGCTGGCAAAGGGCAAACAAAGTTGGGAGCAAGACTAGAAACCATGGAGGATGAATTACTAAATTATAAAAATTATCTTTAACCAGACCTAAAGTTTGGTGTACTGAAATCTGACAGGAGCAGAGGGCTTTGCTTTTACTCTCATATAACTAGACCTCCTTGCTATGTATAGTCCATTCAACAGGGAATATTCCTCACCCACAGAGACCTGCAGTTCAGGTTGGATTAAAACCCCCCAAGGCATTTTGCACCAACTCCTCTTTCCTCAGTCTTCTAAGGTCTGTGGCTGGAAAGCTCCCTTAGTCCAAGCAGACAGAAAAAAAATCTTTCTCCATAGAGAACAAATGTGAAGAAGTTTCTATAAAATATAAATTTTAATAAAGATGTACAGTAATGGAGCTACTGTGAATGCTAAAAATAAATAAGTCTTCAAACGTGATCAGAGCTAACATCAACAGGCCAATGCCTAATGTCTACCAGGTTGTGGTAGAGCAAATACGATGACAGACATGACTGTTGTAGGACTTCTTATGACATTTTCAGAAGCAGAAACCCTGGTCCATCCAAGAAGGGGTTAAAAACGCTCCTTCTTTCATCTGTATTTTGCCAGGCAGGCCTTGCAGTTCTGGCCCTTACACTCAAATGTTCCATGTTGGGACACAGGAAAAGCAACTTTCTGCTCGTGGTTTTCAGGGTTGCCAAAGGTTTTCTCCTCTCTTGTTTAGAGTCTGCTAGGAAACACGAGATGTTTCGTATCCAGAATGATGTTAACAATTGCAGACATTGCTTTCCTTCATAATTTTTACAGAAAACAGTGACTGCAGTAAATCTGGTGTGACAGTTGAAATGATGAGAATTACTATCCTGAAAGAGAGCTCTGTAAGGTTTATAAAGCTCATCATTTTTAAAAGGAAAATTGTTTTTTACTCTGGGCATCTTAGGATCACAGGGTAAATTACCCTGGGTACTAAAAGAGCATAAGACAAGCTGCATTTCTGAGCTTGAGCTCTCCAGCCAACTTGCATAAAAGGGATGTTCAGAAACTGGAAATAGTTCAGAAAAGAGTTAGAGGAATGGGTCTCTGTCTGGCAAACTTGTCTTTTCCTGAAAGACTGTATAGATTCAAACTTACCCAAAGTAATTTGAATGCTTGACTTGATCAGAGTTTATTAGCTCATCCATGCCAAAAATACTTCCCATCTTATAAATCATCACATCTACTTCAAGCTTTTAGACAGGGATATGAAAAAGTCCAATGGCTGGAGCAGACAAAATCAGGGTAAAAGTAATGTGCATTCTTCCTTGGTAGGTAAATTAGCACTAAAATAGTCTGTTTGACATAATATATTCTCTGTCACTTGAAGACTTAATAGCAAAAGTGTCTTTCTGAAAAAATAAGCCTTGGTTGAATTCAGATCTATAAGCTTCATGTGAGAATGGTTGGCAGAAATGGCTAAGAGGTCACTGTTGAGATCTGGTCCTGTCTGGAAATTCAGGAATCTACATAAGAGCTGCAGTCTCATGGAGATATTTTCACAATTTTATCGGTAATTTTCCATTCATGCAAGCACTGCCAAATTTAAACTTTCTGGTTATAAAAGAAAATAAACCTGGTGGACCTCTGCAAGCATCCAAAAGCAGTGGTGAATTACTCCAGC